CGACGTCGTTTCGTTCGCCTGGGATCTCTCTGACTCGGTTTACCAAATCAAGTAATGACGATGATCGACGGTCTTGGGGCTTGGGTACCTGCATAGATCCAGTATGTACGTCATCGATCCCCAAAAGCACGAGCAAGTAAACCCCAGGAAAATAGACATATTCTGCGGAGAAAGCCCCATGATGCGTCGCATCTACTCGCAGATTCCATGTAGGTAACCAGTTCAGACTCAGGGATATCGCAGATCTGAAGCAAGTGAGGCGCATTAATGACAGCATACTTGACTACAGCGAAGAACCATGGAAAGCAACTGATGCGAAAAGGGGGGTCCTCGCGTCGAGGTTGCAGCGAAAGGTCTGATGTGTACCCTGACACGGTCAAAATGGCAACCTGCGACGTCCGGGGTTGCCAGTCTGGGGAAGTGTAACCACCAGTTCCACAAGTTTCATCAGCACACCTGACGTGCCAAAACCTTCCGCTCCAAACTCTGTATGGCTGCATCAGATTGAGGCCAGTCAGTGCTTAGGCGGCAATTTCCTATTTCGTTTAGCTAACCGCTCGTCGTCGTGTCGTGATTGTCCTTGCGGGGTAAGCGGCGTTTGTGGGGAAGCTAAACAACGTTCCGCTCCAGTTAGTCTGTCATAGTCATAATAAGAAAGGGGATTGGTGGGTAATAGAATCATCGAGCGGCGCCGTCGCCGACTATTGCTGCTGTTGTGAGATTTCCAGTGTTTCGTCTCGGCGTATCTTCGTTGGTTTGGATTGACACGTGCGGGCCGGCGAGCTGCAAACCAGGAGATCATGAGGCAAGGTAGCGAGGCATGACGCAAATTGGTCCTGAAATGTGCTTCATCGGACTTGTATCAAGCCGAAGACCTGAAATACCCGAATCTTCCCGACACTGCCTACGTCGGCAGTTGTGCTGACTGTTGGTTAGTAGGTCCATCCTTACTCTTTAGCAATAATGAGTCACCAGATTCTCGAAAATAACTGTAAGCCGAAGAGTGAGCAAGAGCGGTACCGCATGCAAGAGTTTGTCGAGGCGCGCACTATACAAGGATATGTCGCGTGGTGAAAGCTGAAAGCAGCAAGCTCATGCTTGCAACGATGGCGGGGAAGACACTGCCGCTGCAAGATTGGAGACAGCTGACCATGACAAACTCCCGAACTCTCTGGCAGATTCGAAGCAATGCAGGGACCGTAATGAAACGATGCAAGAAAAGAAATAATAGGCATGGTATACACAGCGGCGTTATCCTGCTTCCGGGAGCGCCATCCGATGCTACGTAAATCCGGGGTCCGGGGAGTGCATCCAAAGTTTGGCTCTAACAGTAGCGTACCAAGGTGTTGACTCGCCTCATGATCGAATCGTAGATATACCGCATAGTACCGGCCCAAGTGGACGCCGTTCCTGAGAAACGGCTTGCATCATGCTTGCCTCAAATCTCAGGATCGTCGTGTAATTGTTCGGTTCGTGATAACCGTTGCGTGGTGATGGCGGGTGATCTTCTTGCTTTTCTTGGTGTTTGGTAATCTTGACTTACCTTTCGGAGCAGACATTCGGGATTCTTTCGGCATCTTCTTCGCTGGGCAGCACCCAAGTACTTCTCGCCAGGTCTGCGAATGGCGTAATGGCCGTCCGTGTTCATTGAAGGTGCTAGGAGCACCACGTTGTCCATGTGTTCGTATACGAAAAGGCCCCGGTGTGGACGAAACGTGGCCGGGGATAGTTCCGTTTGTCCAGCAAAATGTCTTTCCCCGCCTCTCTGACCCCAGAGTTGGTTGAGCTTCGATAGCGTATGTCATGAAAATGCCTCGGCTTCCGGTCTCGATAGCCCAAAGGCTAGAGCCCATGCCAGCACGGTAAATGCCGCAAGATTGCCGTTGTTGTTTGTAACATTAAAGAAATCGTGAAGAGATTCATGGAAGCTGGTGAAGAATGACGTACGTCTTTGGATGCCATGGGCATGTGGGTGATTTAGGGCTGCATGCGATCTTGGCGCGTTTGTGATGTGGAGCTCGTGTCCATCTACCGAGACTTCGGAAAAAAGATGGTGCATGCTTGATCGCGATTCAACTCTGGCGTCAAGAGTCACTCGCAATCTACAAGGCTGATGGTGATCGCCCCTGATGAACAAACTAGTTGATCAATGGGTACGAGATCGCGATCTTTCGCAGGTGTAGTCTTCTAGACTTTTGTCAATCGATCCTTGTAATTCGCGATGGTGTTGACTGAGACATGCCAGCGAAGCCTGGGGTAGATCACGCTAGGCTAGGTCATTATCCCATACTTGTAGGCATTATGGAAGATCTTGCCGAGTGAGAAGCGGCTATGGTGAAGGTCAAGAGACGGCATGATGCGCTGGCAAAATCTTGAGGTTTAGCTAAGAATGGCAGGCGTTTAAGCACACTCGAGACACCTGATACATCTGTTACAAGTTAACCTGCAGGTGTTTACATTATCCACCTCCACTATTCCGACTTCGTGATATGACGGAGTGAGTGGATATAGGGTAGATGTAGAGTGCCGATGGAGAGGAGCCACCGGATGAAGCACGGCAGTATAGCGCTAATATGATGAACAGGCCAAGGACGCCTGAAGAATAGAAACCAAAATTGAGGAGACGCACCGAGAATGTAGACAAGGAGACAAGAAAGTCTTAGTGTCTTGAATATGGTGTTGCTTACTTCCACGCGTCCTGCTGCTTTGTGGGCAGTGCCAATGGCCCGTATTCAAAGCCAATAAGCTTTGGTATGACAGTGGTATTTCGCACGTCGGATGCGCCAGCTGAGTATGGTGATAGAAGTATGTGTAATGCGGGAAGTATTGACGGAGCAATGGCGCTGCGTGTGGGACTCTGCATTCAGGCAATGGGATAGGTTTCCGCGGCCACGACTTCAAGCACGACATTCTGACGGCGGTCTCGCCGGCTTGATCTGCGAATTATGGCGTCCTGCACAGCGGCAATTGATTATCTCTGCTTCACCATATCGAAACAAGCATTCCGGTATCCGTTCGACGCGTAGGCAGACATCAGATCTGCACTCTCAGCAGCATTGGCGAGAAGGGAACGTCACCAAAGTGTGACGATAGGTGTTCATGTGACGGGGACCCCCACGGTAGCAGCAAATGAAACTGCGGAGAAAGGAGGCTTGGAGTGATACTGAACCGAAGCCCCCAACGAACGCGATAGTCACAGTCACAGGACGAGGGGGTGTAAGCGCATTACTAGACGTTTGAGCCAGTCGAGCGAGATATTGCCAGGGAGCCATAGCCGTGGCGGAGTTCCTTGTACATGAGGCTGAAGCATCTCCAAGATAACTCGTCAAGGCTGGCTTCAGATGACCACTCGCAGGCGCTAACTTGCCAACGCATCGACCTCCAGACCGACTTGGTCGCGGGGTAGCGCTGCGGGTGCCTGATAGAGCGTCGCCTTCCGCCGTTTCAGGGATGATGTTGTTTTTAGAGCATCCGGATGATCAGAGGACTTTGAAAAACGGTGGTAATAGTGAGCGTCAACAATGCGAGAGGCGACTGGGGCCGCGCTGGGTTGAGCCCGCGCAATCCGGTGTAATGATTTCTGCGTGACGAATGGAGAACGATTGGCGAGACCACTGTCCCATAGTCAAACTGGCGAGGCTTGCATGGTGGTTGCTGGTTGAGTGATGCTGATGCAAATGCAGATGAGCAGCGAGGGGCGAGGATGCCTTGAGCAGAACGGTGGGCGGGGAACTGCGGTAACTTCAGCTATCGGCCAGCATGACGTAGTGGCGTCCCATGGTCGTCAGTGTTATCAGTGTCTAAAGCTTCATTTCTTGAGTCGTAGACTCTAGTGCTGAAACATCGAGCGTCGAGACTGCACTGCGCAGTAGAGTGTGTGGTGTTGAGTTCGCAGCTCGAGTCATAAGGCTGAGCGGCGTCTGCAGCAGTGCAGCCGTCGAGTCTCGCCAGCAGATCCCACGACGCACGACGCACGACGGAACTTTGGGCGTGCTCGCCACGATGCACGTTGCCCACATCCAGGAGTATATTGTGCAAGGGTCGTCTCTCACGAGGGAGCTCTCTCGAGTACCGCATGCCCTTGGTGATCTCCTTGTGATGAGCAACGGCACAGCAGCACATGCGGCACGCATCATTCAAGACGGTAGACAGGAAGCCGGGCCGAGGGAAGAGGAACGCGGCGCAGGCAATAGCCGCGACATTGTCAATTTGACTTTGGGCTGTGACGAGCGATGAGCAGATCCAGGTTTCGCTGTATCTTCAATAAACATGTCGCAGGCTGATCGCCATCGTGACACGGACAACGTGCCCTGTAGGCGCGGCAGATGTTATTATGGCGGTGGTGCGATCCGGCACTGCATGACGGCCACAGCAAAGCGTGCATAAGCGCCTCCTTTGTAACTAGCTTCGGTGGGATGGTTCAGAAGAGCGGTAAGAACATGCGTCTTGTTGGGACCTTCGAACCCCGGAACAGCTGACAGCTAGAGTCATTCGATGAGGCCTTGAAACTACCTCGGCCTAGCGCACAATCACAACAAGCAGTTTGTAGAAGTCTCAGATGATGAAGTATCCGCTTTTTATCATTAAGGTATCTAGGCCAACACCTGCTATCTTCCAAGCAAAGGCGATGCCATGGTCCAAACAGCTCAGCGGAGCCGTTCCCATGCCGGGGTATAATGGGTCGGACAAAGAGCCCGATACAAGTACATGTGCAGGTGATAGTACAGACCAAAGTAGGCGTGAGCCGTAACCCATCTTCAAAACAAGAAGCACCCTTTGTCCGGTATGACTGCATGAAAGAAATTCGTAGCCTCATCGGGCCTACTCAATGGCCCTGGTGGTATCAGAAGATTTTGGGAGGAACATAACCCATGAATCGGCTGACCAGTGCATTTGGGGACTGGAAGGCCGCTAAAGTGAAGAAAGACAAAACGCCGTTGGTCCAATGCCAAACCATAGATGCCGCTAGAAGTGCAAATGTAAAAAAGGATGTTGTTGTGCTACCAGCCGGAGCGGTGGTATTCTTGGGCGTCTCCGCCATCAAAGAATTGGTTGTATGAGCTGTCGGGCTTGTTGTCGTCCCGGAAAGTGGTGGATCTGATTTGAGCTTGTTGCTCGTTGGTGTTTAGACCCTTGACGTCGCCGGTGGTCATGGCCCGGCGGAGGGCTGGAAGGTTGACTGCGCTCTGTTGGCGCTTTGCTACCGCGTTAGTGGTGGCATTCTTTTGCTGCCTCTCCCACAGCAGGTTTTGTCTTAGCGATCCAGTGAGCTCACTGGTCAGCATGTTCCTGCGCGTAGTCTTGGGAGACATGGCAGGTGGGTGGACGTTTGAGGTAGTCATGATGATAGGCTTTGGGCGGGAGGCTTGCTCGCGCATCATCAAGCCACTGTCCTCGTGAGGTGAGCTGCCGGCGGAAGGTCCGTTTGGTGTATGGGTGCGTGACCTTCGGATGGCAGGTGATGATCGCGATGCAGCATTTTGCAGAGCTGATGCGCGGTCACCTTGGTGGAGGGCAGTAGTGAGAAGCGAGCGGCGGGAGGTAAGGTTGGCCTGCGAGTCGACACGCGGGAACTGAGGACGGTGCTCAGCAACGCTGGGGGGACCGCTCTCCTCGTTGTCGTCATCCTCCCACTCCTCATCGGAGTCTTCCTCTTCAATGGCGCTCTCGTCGACATCGTCGTCTTCGCTGTCGCTCTCAATGGCCGCTTCGCTGCTCTCGGACACGTCATGGAAGGTGCGCGTGCTGACCTCGTTCTTGAAGGAGGTAGTCTTGCGCATGGGAGCAGTGTTGCGCAGCTGCTGTGAGAGAGAGCTGCGTTGAAGCGAGTAGGCTTCGAAGGAGCTGCCATTCTCCTCCTCGGAGGATCCGCCGAGAGTGAACATGGGCTGCCTCTTCTTGCTGGCGTCGGCCTTTGCGGGAAGCGGCTTGGTAACGAAGCTGGACGTCTTCTTGAGGATGGGGGTAGGGTTCAGGTTGGTGCTGGATCGCACTGAGGTGGAGATGTGGCCGGGCTCGAAGCCGCGGACGACACTGTGCTCGCTCACGTCGGTGGATGTGCTGGCTTCGGAGCCGACGGCAGGGCTCATGATGTCGCAGCTGACCGAGGTGGCTACGGTGGAAGTGGAGGCTTCGGGAATGGGGCGGGCGGTAGATGGTGGCGTGGTGTTGTCCTGGACGGGCTTCTGCTCGGCTACAGGTGGGGCGAGCTGGGCTGGGAGGGGCGACAGCGGCTCGATGAACTTCTTCTCTTGTATCGAGTTGACGACTTTCTCGAGGCCAATGGGGGTCATGTGCTTGCCGCGGGCCTGGCTGGTAGCAGAGTCGTGGCGGCGCAGGTCGGGGCGGTCGGCCGAGAGATCACTTCGGGAAGTCGTGGTGATGGCGCTTTCCAGGTTGGAGTCGTCGGAGGCGACGCTGGTAGACAGCTCGGGCATGTCCGTAGCACTAGCGGACAATTGTCGCTGGAAGGCCCACTGGGGAGCAGCCACAGGGTCGGGCTGGCAGCAGAAGGTCTCACGGGACCACAGCCGCCAGGCCATGTTCTCATAGCGTTTGCCGTCTTCCATGGCGGGCGAGCATCTTGCAAAGACTGTCAGGCCGAGTTAGTAGCCATTCACATGCCGCTGCATGTGCACTGCACATGCTCGTGCATATCACTCACCAGACCAGAGGCCGAACAGGTTCTCGGTGCTGCGGGTTTCGATGGTGCGCATGGAGCTGTGCTCGACGCGCACTATGGGCCGTTCTGCGCGGAGAGGCATTTTGGGTCTTGTGTGTCGAGGGCTGGGGGTGTGATATCGATAACGGTGGCTCCGCTTGCGTCAGAGACGGTGAGGTTCCGATTGCGTCAATGGAGAGACAGTTGCCGAGCAGAGGGAATGCCGGCGTTGCTACAGCACTGGCAGATACATGGATAGACAGTGTGTATACGTGTATGTGGATATGGGGCTATGTGTGGTTCCAAGAGAGCGGCGGTTGTGGACGTGGTCGTCAAGCGGGTAGGGTAGGATACAGAGAGCATGTAGGTGGGAGTGGAGTCTGGTATGTATAAAGCCAAAGCCCGCTCTACTGGTGTGCGCCAGCATGACAGGGGTGGGCTCTGGGCCGACATGGAAGGCGCGATGGGCACCCACACTAGGCCTCACACCCTGCACCTTCCTGATCCCTGCCACCTCCTAGCCCTAGACACAACCCCCGGGGCAGTTCCGGCTCATTTGAATTTCGTCGAGCCATGATCCATGTTGCGGCCATTCTACCGCTCTTTGCCCGATCTTAACAGTAAGTCCAGAGTCTACCATGGATCCGAGCAGTCAGTCTCTGCGACGCTCGTGGCCTGAGTCCCCCTCGTCATTCCCCCATATCAAGCCCACCTTTTGCTGTCCACTCCACCACCGCCGGCTACAACTTGTCGCATCGAGCGCCTCGTTGCCACCGCAGCCTTCCCTACGTCGCCGCCCGCGTGGTGAATGGCCTGGGCGTGGGGACGCACATGATCCAACAACACGGCCGTGCCCCCCTGCAATCCTCCTGGTACTTCCAGAACACTGCTGCCCTGACTCGCTGTCTCTGTTCCGCCTGTCTCAAGATTCATGCCACTGACATCGAGGCCATCGGGGCAATGCTATGCTGACCTGACGACCACGCTTCGGCGCCGCAGTTGATGCCTTCCTTGGTCTGCCCCCCTCTGGCTGACTGGTTGCGCTGCATTGTTGCTGCTGGCGGATCCGGTGCACCAGACATGATTAACAGTCACCTGCCTGTGAACCTTGGAAGCACTGCAGAGAGAAAGTTACGCCGCCGCAATACAATACCGCTAACTAAGCCGTTTCGAAAAGCTATGCACGCCATGTGACGATGCTTGCCCAATCCCTTCTAGCGTTCGCGGAAGCAGCTGAAAACTTCCGCTGGCGCTTCTTTTCCCTAACTCGCCTCTTCCGACACCCTACCCCTGCACGATTCTGGCCCTCCAGCTGCGCATGTGCCTGCCCTCGTCGCCATGGCTGTGCCTCTTGGACCCTGAGTCAATCCGACTGTCCACACCAGCTAGACAGCCTCACGAGCAGTTTAGCACCGTCGAGAACAGAAAGTACTTTCCCTCCGCGACAGCCTTGTTTTCCGCTTTCTGCTTCCATCATTTTGTCATACGTACTGTCTGCGCAAATCCCCCGCACTGGGGTTGGGCAACACGGGGTCCTTTCAATTCTTCCGTGGCGGTCAAGAACAGCCTCTGCAAGTTCTGGTGACATGGCTGCTTTCGGTGTGGACAACTCCGCCTTTGTCTCTGCGGTTGCGAATTTTACCGCCTACCACCAACGCTGCACTGGTTATGTGAATCCGCAAGCCATTGTTCGCTAGGTTCCTAGATGCGTTGGTTATTCGCAAGGATGCCAGACCATGCGGTACAAGCCCGGTGGCCACCTGGTTAAAGTGCTGTCCTCGATACCTTTGAGACATGCCAACTACCCCAGATAATCCGCTCCAGAGTTTGGGGTAGTGACAGGTACCCTGTGCTAAGGTGCACTGTGCGCCCACTTGTCCTCCAGTAACTACCAAGTTGGCTGCTCTGCTACGTCAGTCCAGTACACGGCAATCTCTCGAGGTCATCTGGGGCGGCTGCCGAATCACCAAGCCGCAAAAGCATCATGTGCGACCGCACGTTATCGCTGAATGCGGCGTGATGTCTGTTTCATGAGTTGTACACCGGCAGCTACAACTCTACGTGGCACTGGACCGTCGAGTGCCTGTCGCTCTGCCTTAGCCAACCGGTTGCCGCTCCTGTAAGCCACACTAGGTTCACGATGCATCGACTGCACATTACATATGCACAGCGCTTTTTGGTCCAAAGAACAAACGTCAGTAGGGGGAAGTACGGGGCCACGCTCCCTCCAAGTCGTTCGCTCGTGATATGGCGTAGAGCTGAACGCTAGTTCCCCGGACCGTGGGCCCTTCACCATTGTCGCGTGCTTTTTCTCACGATCTCCATACAATCGTCAACTACCATTAGGCTCTACCTCCATCCGTTCATCGCGATGGGATTCACCGCGCTCAAATCTGGTACGACTATGCGATCGACCAAACGTGTAATCGATGTTCGCATTAGTCGCAACCACCTTTCGTTGCTCCGAGGCTGCATGCATGCAGTATCATGACCTAAAGTCGAACTGCCTTGGTCATGAGCAGACGACGACTGTACCCCAGATCACGACAGTGCAAGCAGTGACGCCTGCCAAGCTGCCTGGGTTTTGATTTCACCCCTTGCTTTTCTCCCTACAGCAAGCACGGAAGCGCATATGGCAACTGTGGCACACAATTAATCGGTATGCGAGCAAAGGTCGGAGCGCAAAACACATGCTGTTGGGCTTAAACACTGCCCGTTCCGACACGTCTACCCATCTATTACTCTTTTACGTTTACGAGCAGAATAGAAACGATCGTCTCCGTCAGCCACCTGCTGAGATGAGCCCTCGTATCTGCGCCTGGAGGAGCTACCAGTCTGCCATCCGTGATTTTGACAAGTGCCGGACAATCGATCGCTGTTTGATTACTCGTCACATGCTGAACGGCAAACGATCTCGGTACATTATGTCTGTCTCTTCGACATACGGCTCTTCCGCACTGCAAACAGGCCCAGAGATAGCCGACACGCGCTGCACATATCGATCTCGCATACAACCCACACTATCCACACCGAGTGTACAAAGAACATTACTGCACTCACCATAGAGGCTTGACAGTGCCACTCTACCGGACACTGGAGATGGAGGCCCGACAGCCTGGATACCACGCCTAGACTAGCCATATCGGGTCCGGGGCGTGCACCCGCTGCCCGCAGGCGTCGCGTGGCTGTCACCACGGAGCACCAATCGTCTGGCTTGCAACCACCGGCTGTTGCGTCGGTTGGCCTTAATAGCATTGCGCTCAGCGTTCCGTCCTATGCTGTGATCATGCTCCGTGTCGCGCACTCACTGTCTCCGCACTTTCTTGATACCCCCTGGATCGCGCATCCTCCTACTCACGTCCCACAATAATGGGCGGCGGTTCTCTAGGTCTTTTTGTCCAATCAACCGCAAAAACGTGCTCACGCTCACATGTGCTGCTCGTTGCAATGATTAGCCGAGGCGTCGGCGGCCAGTGCGATGCCACGGAATCTTACTGAAACCTCACTGTCAGAAGGGATAGGAAGATTTGCCTGTCCTGTCGCTTCTATCACATCTTTAGCGTACGGGGGGAACTTAATGCTGGTTTCCGCTCTCTTGCACGAATCGACATGAGGGATTTTGCACGAATCGTATGGGCCTTGTGCGGCCCTGCGGAGCGGACGTTGCGCCCAACAAATAACATTGGAGAAATTAATCCTCATTTCCAGTGAGTCGGGTCTTCATTCTGGCGCGTTTTCAGTATCGTCGATTGCCTGAACGAGGTGTCGTGGGTGCCCAAAGCAGCAACACGTTCCCCAGTGCCTGGCGGTGGGGCCCGACGCGCAGGCATCCCACGCGTGCAAGCACGAGGACGTCGCATCGTCCACCTCCGCACTGATAACCAACCAGAGGATATCCGGACGTCTCGCCGGTCACCGATGGCAACGCAACATCAAACGGACTCAGGCTCCGGTATTCCCGCCGAAGATCACAAGCAAAGTCATTCATCTGTTAGATTTCGGTGCAAAGTCGACCTAGTATCCCGCACTTCGGAGCGAAGGTTCAGAGAGACCAACGACAGTCTTCCAGGCTCATTACCCCGGTCGACGTCAAGTTCACATGGCCACGCCCCCTGCTTGGCGAACGCCGTGTGGTGTATACACCTCCCACGTGTGCATGCTTATCGTAGCTTATCCAAATCGAATGCCCTTTTCCCGTCGCAAGATTCTGGAGCGACAAACGGGCCGGCTTATTGCTCATGAGACCGTACCTGAAACCAATGATGGGGGTGATACTCTGCAAAAGCAAATGCATGTCTGATATCTTAGCAATCTTTTTTGTAACGGGCGAATGGATAGTCGTCGATTTGCGATGTTTTCCCGTAGGATTGTGACAGCTTCTTTCGCTAACGGCTATCTTGTTCGACCTTCTGCATTGGGGCTACACCCTGTATGTGTCCTCTTTCCGACTCCCACCTGAGTTAGCGTATCGGTCGAGCCGTGGACAAAGTCTGGAGACGCCATGGGGATTGCAATCCAGGTTGCAACTCCTTCAGCCCGCAGCTTACCCTCTGTGGTAACCCTTCCTTACTCTTGTACAACCGGTTTATGCCTTGAGTGTTAGCTTACAGAGCGTCTTGAAAATCTCCAAAATAACGTCCCGGACATGGCAGTTGCAATCTTCGGCAGAAAGAGGCTGTTGTCGAGGCTCTTTCACCCGTCCCGGGCTTGTGGTTCCCAGTTCCAAGTCTGGTTCGGTAGCACTGCGTGCTGACCGTCATCTGCACGTCTTCATTTATCTCGTCCTACCGACCGCGCTTACAGTGCAGGATCTACTTTGAGCTCGAGGTGTGGTCAGCCTGCGCTGATGTACCCGCTCCCAGATTAAATATTATTCCACCCAGCCAGCTAGGGCCTTTGACCGTATTGTCGGGACACAAATGCTGATCCCAGGTTCCAATCTCGATCTCAAGGTCTCACTTTATGGTTGTACGAGTATATCTGGAGCACTGCAGCGTCACAACGGGATTACGGCCTGCCGCTCACCGCCAGAAATGGAGCAGGTTCTGAATTATGATACCAACATTCAAGCACGTAGCTTATGAAGATCATGATACCATCGCA